TTAAATTAGGTTGGGCTTCGATTTTAGGTGGTTAGACTTTTTATTATAATTTATAGTTTAGCATTATCTGTTATTACGTATATTCTATTATATTCCTTCAATTATTATCAAGTTTGCGCCATGAATATTGAATGAGATTCATTTTGTCGAGAGTGCCAGATACCTTGCGCCACTCGCGGGTCTTTGTTTTGGCACATGAGACAGAAACATGGTTTAAAACCTGAACTGCCTAATATCTGGTCATTACACAACAACACATTTAAATAGTAATGTATCTTCAATTTACCTTTTTTCAATTCACATATGTCCACATCTTCGACATTACTCTCCGATATCAATTTCATTGCTCCGTTCACCTATGCTCATCCACATAGTTCCTCGCAAATCCTTTCCTTCACGTGCACATTTTATTTCAACATCCTTTACACACTTCAATTTACCTTTTTCCATTTCACATGTTTCTACATCTTAGCTATCATTTTCCAATTTCAATTCTTGGGCTTCACATCTTTATTTCCACAACCTTCTATCATAAATCTTAGCTCCGTACAAGTCTTTATTTCTACACCCTTCTTCATCATCAACTTCAGCTCTCTACATGTATTTATCTTCACAAACTGCTACACCGTCTACTCATTTTAACATTAATCCATCTTCCATTCCCAATTCTCCACTCAGCTCGAGAGAACATTTTATAGGTATGTAATGCTTTACATATACTGATTATTTGTATTCTGTATTGTATAACTTATAAATTGTTCTTTTAGGTACACAATCAAGAACCAGTATATTATGATCTTTGCTTGATAGGATATTATAATATGTTGCATCGACTAATCATACAAATGGATTTAAATAGAGAATAAACCCAATTGTATTGGCATCATTATATTTGATTTATATCAATTTGACAAATTCATACATATGACTTTCTAAGGTAGAATGACCTGCAGCTTTTGCAAATATAATGTAGCTATATGCGCATGAATACATTTTATCAGTTGTCATGGTTTTTCAAACTGCGAAAGATATAGAAATCTTATTAATTTAACAATATGGTTTTTGGATGGTGAAAGTAGTATAGTTTTTAAGTTTCCACCTAAATTCATCAAATTTACTGAATGTCCTTTACTGGACAGTTGTAAATAAAAGAGTTAATAATAAAAAATCTAAATATTAAGCAATCAGTATCTACTTCTTTCTGTTTGGCTTTGGCTTGCGATAATTTTCTCATGCTTCATATCGTTTGGATGTTATTATTGCATGGTTCATATTGCAAATAATATAAAATGTTTATATATTATTGATTTTTATAAAAATGTTAAATAAAATAAGTACTATTCTTTTTTTATTCTTTGAAATTATTAGTATTTGATCTAAAATAAAATTGTTTAAATATAATTTTTAGTAAAATTATTCATTGGGCTAAATGATATTATTGATTTCGCTATCATTTACACTAGCTATATTGTTAGCAAAATTAATCTCATTATTTACACAAATTTGAAACATGTTGCTTTATTCCATTGAGTAGTGCAATTACTAAAAATGTATATAATTTGCAAAAGGTGGGTGCAAATTTGATTGTTTTATTTGTCCTAACGCCAGTAGGCTATATTATCACATTCAATTCTAGTTTGAATTTATTTTGTTATTATTATTAACGTCCTAGCCTTTATTTAGTCAAATGAGACCCTACTCATGACAAATTTGAAACTTGATCTTATAATACTTGAATACCAAATCAAAGCACTCCGTAATGTTGGTTTTAATATGTTCTGGAATAACTATATTTCGTTCTTTCTCAAATATTTGTCATATAAATAAATAAATAATTTGTTATTGCAAATTCCTAAATCTCGACGTTAAAGGCCAACATCTTTGCAAGATTCGATCCTAGACAATATTTGAATATGATATCTCCATCATATATTATTATATCGTATAGGATCTTCATATTCGGTTCTCAGGTTTAAACTACTCTTTTCGCCGAACGATATTTGTCGGCGACAACTTCATGTACAATCAAAGGTTATGACAGCTAAACACATAGATAAATAAGCATAAATAGATCGCTATCTCGGGCCATTTGATGTTACACTCATTTTAATTTACGAATAGATCACTACATGGCAGCACATGTACATACAGTATGTAAATTAACCCCTGATATTACTTCTACATTTGTACATAAAATTAATACAGCCCAAAAATCTGAAAAAAACTATTATTTGAAATAAGAACAAAACATACGAAATACAAAATATATTTTCAAATATATCACAGACATATTTTTGAAGAATTATAAACTAAACAGAAATAACTGACTACTATTAATTAAAGTATATTACAGACATATTTTTAAAGTACTTATTCTATTAATATTCTAGAAATAACTTATTCATATTAATTACTTAATGACTAATAATAATATATTAAAAATTTAAAAACTAAGAAGTAAAAAGCGCAGGAGTATTGATGATGGAATGACAAATTTAGAAGGAATGACAAGCAATGCAATAATTTAAAAGGATAAAAAGAACAGCACATTTTTAAAAAAGAATGAATACTTTCCAAACAAAATAATTCTAAAAACAATATATATATATATATATATATATATATATATATATATGATATCCAAATTGAGATAAAACTAAATTCCTAGGATTAAAATTCATTTACGAGACATTCTTGTTTATTATCTCTCCATTTAATAGTTATTTTGCTATCTAATCAATCATTAATAAAGTTATATTTGACGAAATCTTTGAATAGTTTCTGTATAAGGGTTTTTTTAAACGTAAGTAACCAAAACCTTGAACTACTTTTAATTTATACCAATTGTAGCTCAAATCTATCTATCGTTTTAATCCAGTTTTTATTGCAAGGAGGTTTAGTTAAAACTATAACTAAAGCCTTGCGCTTTATAAACTGTCTGGTCTTTGAGTATGCTTTCTTAATTGAGACATTATCAAAATTCTTGCCCTTACATTTTAAGTTTCCGGAATATTTGAAAACTTCTCAGAACATTGTATATTCTGTTGGAATTTATCCTTTAAATTATTGCATTGCATTTTAATCCCGAAACAAAATTTGATGTATCATACATCTTCTGGGTGTTAAGGCACTCCTACGCCTTATCATTGCATTCTGCGGCAATTTGCAGCTACCATCAAGGACTTCTATTGAATATATTGTTATATCATATTAATTGAAGATATTGTAATTATCATATTAAATATTTTTGCTGCAATTAGTATGAAAAAATACCTTTTCGGAAAACTGGTGTCAGAATAGGTGACTTTTAACCTGCACTTCACAATCTTAGAGGTGCTGCAAAAATCTTTTTCAAGGTGTTTAGGCTTCCATCTCCTAAGAACATAAGATTCATTTATTAATATTTTTTTGCAAATGTTATTGAAGTATTTAGAGTTATAATTACTTGTCCTTGTCCTTAGAGTTGCAGATTGTTCTTCTGGTTCTGTATCAGAGCATTCTCCAGCGACTTGAAAACTATTTTGTTATTGCCGTAAAGGAGACACTTCTATTTGGTTTCGATTTCAAATTATCGTTGATTTGTGCCACAAACCGAAGAGTTAGGTCATCCATTAAAAGATTCTTCGCCCTCTGCATCCAAATTGAAAGCATCTTTTTACACACAATTTTTTACACACAAATATATATAATATATATTTACACAAATATATATATATATATATATATATAACATTTTAATAGTATTGTGATGATACATATTCATTATATGCATACCTGATAATACATCATTATATACATACCTGATAATTAGATGCCGGAAAGACATGCATTTTTTTATTATATTTGGGGTTATAACAATTTGGCACATAACACTTTATCATTTTAACTTAATAATAAATGAAAAAAGTATTCACCAAAACATAATTATATATAAACAATCACAGAAAATCTCAACTACAATACGCGATGACAATTTGACAACTTATAGAAGATGGCCGATCAAATCAATGTAGATCAACAAGCCAGCTGCTAGATCAATGAAATTGGAAATCGTAGCGCCATCCTTCGAACTATTCAAATACCAATCCATTTCAAAACACGGTAATCTTCATGGGGGGTTATCTCTGAACAAATACGCTTTACCGTGTTTTGACATTGGGTATTGCCAAGCTTAGATTATAGATGGCTTACATTCGCTCAATTACAACAACGCTCGTTCGCGCATTTGACAGCCGTCGTACGAATGTGCCAATAACCTATATGTTGTTGCTAAATATTTCTGTTCTAGTGTTAAGTGTTCTGTTCTAAAGTTAATAAATAAATTTAGTATGGTCACGTGCCAAGTTGTTTCAACTAATGAATATTGAATTGCACGTCTTAAGTGATGGCCAGGTATGTATGATGAGTTATATTTATTTATATAATGAAAATGTATAATAATAATACACGATGAAAATGTCAGAAGTCAAACACTTTTCAATCAATTCAAGAAAGCATCCTAAAGTTCATGTTCTCCGGAGCCTAAATATGCCGGATTTGTACTATATGAATGTATTTTAATAATAATTATTTTAGAACTTGGTATATCAATGTCAATTCATAAAAATGATGTAGAGGCAGTGGCAGATTGTCGAAGGAGAGTAATCTTACTTCAGGTAACTAAATACAAGTTGCTTATATATTTTATTTTGAATAATGTAGTTGTATCTTTAAATCAAGTATCTGTCTTTCTTGTAATAATTTATATAATAATATGCTTCTTGTTTAGGCTTCTTTGAGCTGTATTGAAGTGTGTGGATTAGACAAATCTCCTTTACGGGAATCATGAAAGAGTTTTCCTCTCACACAGTCACAAATAGGAGAGCATTCTGATGTAGAATCAGGCGATAATTCTGATAGAGGGTAAACAAAACAATCTAATAAAAAAACACGACAGTGTGCAAATCCAGAGAAAGGGCCAAGTAATTTTAATTCTAAATACCATTTGCAAAGAAAATAAGTAAGGACATAATTCTTGCTTTGAAACTGTACAAAAAGTCTGCAAAGGTCTCAAATGCATACATTTTTATTCTGTTTATTGAAAACACCTGGCTTTATAGTTTTTTTTATCTTTTATGGAAGTTTTAATGTTAATGGATTCATCATGATCATAAAATGAGTAAATGTGATTTTTAAAAATCACTCATGCACAGAAACTATTTAAAGATTTCGTCAAATGTAACTTTATTAATGATTGATTAGATAGCAAAGTAACTATTAAATGGAGAGATAATAAAGAAGAACATCTCGTAAATGAATTTTAATCCTAGGAATTTAGTTTTATCTCTATTTAGTTTCGAGGTTTATTTTGTTTGGGAAGTATTCGTTCTTTTTTACAAATTTGCTGTTCTTTTTATTCTTTAAAATTTTTGCATTACTTGCCATTCCTTCTAAATTTGTAATTCCATCGTCAATACTCCTGCGCTTTTCACTTCTTAGTTTTTAAGTTTTTAAATATTATTATTAGTCATTAAGTAATTAATATTAATATCGTTAATTAATATTAATAAGTTACTTTTCTTTAGTTTGTAGTACTTTAAAAATATGTTTGTAATATACTTTAATTAATAGTAGTCAGTTATTTCTGTTTAGTTTATATTTCTTCCAAAATATGTCTGTGATATATTTGAAAATATATTTTGTATTTCGTATGTTTTGTTCTTATTTCAAATATTAAAATTTTTTTAGATTTTTTGGCTGTAATGATTATATGTACAAATGTAGAAGTAATACCAGGGGTTAATTTACAAAATGAACATGTGCTGCCATCAATAATCTTAGCTCCGCACTTCAATCGATGAAACGTCAAATCGACCGACATAGCTATCTATTTATACTTGTTTATCTATGGTAATCTTCATTTGTTCGGAGATTACCGGCCATGGCTAAACACTCGTTCCGACGACAACTTCATAGCGTCCGTTAAAAGTACGATCAAAGGTCAATGACCTTTTCTATGACCGCTAAACGTCAAAATTAGCATGGTTTAAGGTCGTGTCTAAATATTTTAACCCGTACTTGACACTTTTTTGGGTACTATAAAAACACTTTGCCATATTAAATTTCACTTAAATGTTCACTTAAACACAATTAATTAATTAGAAACAATTAACTTACACACAAACTTAGGTTATGCTTAGGTTATTCGTACAGCGAGTAAATACTTGACAGCTACTTGCACGAACCACGAACAATTTGTAGTTGAAATGAGTTCACATGAGCCATCTGTTTTTAAAAATTGGCACTACTCAAGACCAAAACAGTGCAACGCGCATTTGTTCGAAGATAACTCCCCATGATTTGGCATTTGTATATAAGGTCTATGGCATTTGGTCGTTCAAACTCGGCAACGGACATGACGCGAGATGGCGATCTATATTCATATTCATTTTATCTACGGAAACAGAAATGTCAAAATGTTTATGAATGTGCTGTGCATTATAAATGCTATGAATTATGTACATATTGCAATTAAACAAAACTATTATAAAGTTCTATTAAAACATTTACATTATATATTCGAAATATATAAATAAGCAATTGTGAGTGTCTTCAATAAGTATTTGTTACGTATTCGGACCTGAAAATGTCCGAGAAAACAAATTTTTGCACAACAATTAAAATTGAACCATTCGAATATGAAGAATTCGATGACTACAAAAGTGTGTCAGAGAATGAAGATATATTTCTACAGCGATTTCTAAAATCTGAGGTTACAATATGCGAAGAAATAAAGCAAGAAACGATTGAATATCAACATACAGAAATACCTTATATATTTAATGAAGAGAAAATTTCACAAGAACATCAAACAACCGATAATACGAAACAACCACATAAATATGAAATATGCAATAAAACATTTGCAACAAAATACATAATAAACAGACATAAAAGAAGTCATAATAAAAAGCGCCCATATAAATGTAGAGCATGCAATAAAACTTTCATAACCAAACAGTCATTAAAACAACATGAAATTGTCCATATCAAAGTACGACCTCATAAATGTGAGACATGCGATAAAACATTTAAAACAAAATATATACTAAAACAACATGCAATGATCCATACTAGACTACACTTTTATAAGTGTGAGTTATGCAATAAAACATTTGCATCAAAATACACATTAAATGTGCATGCAATGATTCATAATGGAGAGAGACCTTATAAATGTGAGATATGCAACAGGACTTATTCAACTAAACATTTATTGAAACAACATGAAATGATCCATATCAAAGTGCGACCTTATAATTGTGAGGCATGTGGTAAAACATTCAAATCAAAATATATATTAAAACAACATAAAATGATTCATATCGAAGAACACCCTAATAAGTGTGAGATATGCAATAAAACATTTACAACAAAATACATATTAAAGCGACATACATTAATTCATACTTCAGAATGACCTAATAAAATATTCATAACAATTTCTAAAGGAACATCAATAGATTTATGCTGCCGAATGAGATTTGTTCACACAAGTTCTACACAAATGTGCTTGTATATTTACAATGGAGAAAGAAATATAATGTAAGCAAAGTGACGACAAAAATGTAATGCATACATTTATTTAATTTATTGATTCTTGATTTCACTGACGAACCTGTCAGTAAACCATATGTAAGTATGTGTCAAACAACAAAAAAATCATAATAAAATAATAAATAAAACAATAAAATTAACTTACAATCTTCCCTATATTACACCTACTGAAGAAGTTCAATACAAAACAATTTATTATCTTTTTATCACACAACCTTGTTTCGTAAGAATTATTTTTTTTTAAAATGCGTCTTTGAAAAATATATGAATGCAGCCCTCAGTTTTCACCTTCATATCATACATCTCAATTTCATTTATCATTTTTAACCTGATCTATAACTGGTCAATTATTTTGTGAATGTTTTTCACAGAATTTTGATTCAGATTGTTCAAAGTTAATGAAATGGCTTAATTTTTCTTACAGGTTTTATTTGTTATATGCAGTAGGTGTTGATCAGCCCCAACACCCTTTAAATTTTCTGAAGACATTTTCTTTATTAACTTTCCAAGGGAAAAGTTAGTTTTCATAAAAAATGCAATTTGCTAATTTTATGTTTTCTCGATGTTTCAAGTCATTCTGAAGCAAATGAGACCAAATTTGGAAAAAAGTGTGTGTGTGTGTGTGCAACAGATTTTTTATCTTAAATCGACGTTTTCTGAAAAACGGCTGAACTGATTTCAAAAATTTAAAAGTCATTTGATGTATCTCGATAAGGACTATCGTTTGTCAGTTTTGCGCAATGATCGGCCGAGCCTTTTCTTCGTAAATAGTAGAAAAGTGAAAAAGAATTTATGCATGTTTTACCGGCGATTCTAATTTAATTTTAAAAATTAGTTGTACTTGATTTGCTGGCACAAGTTCTTGCAATTAACTGTTGAAAAAAAAATCGAGGATTTTTGTGAAGTTATTTTGACGGTAGTCTTCTAGAATCTAGACCATACTAAAATATTACGGCCCCTAAATCATTAAGTTTTAAAAATTTGTCAAAGTTTACAAAAATTAGTAATGTTTTTGTTCGTTTGCAAAATTAGACATTTCATCGACGTTTTCTCAGAAACGCCTAAATCGATTTGAAAAATTTAAAAGCCATTCGATCTCGATGAGGATTATCGTTTCTCAGTTTTAGGCAACGATCGGCCGAGCCGTTTCTTAGTAATTAACAGAAAGTGAAAAAATTTCGTCCAAGTTTTAATTCTGACTCGATTTTGAAAATTCAAAAACTATTTGAAAGGTATTATTTGGTATTCGTGCTGACTAGTTTTGGACAAAGATCGGCAGAGCCGTTTTTTCGTACTTAACTGTTGAAATTTTTTTTCGATAAAAATTTTGATGTTGATAAACATCATGGTTCTAAAGAACATACTAAAATTTCATGGCCATACGACCTTTAATTATTTAAAACTCTGTTTTGTTTGATTAAGTCAGTTATTACACATTTCGCGTCCATGCATCTTGCCTTAAGGCATAATGGCCATTTCAACTGGTTTTTAAGGCCACTTTCAACTGTTTTTTACATTGCTATGTGAGAAGACGTGGAAGGGGAAATGAAATCGACTGAAGCGTTTGTAGTGGACAATTTGAGCATTACGGGAGGCTACTATAACCGAAATATTAAACAAATACACGTGAAATATTTTTTATTTTAAATTTAAATAAATTAAACAAAAATGATTCCACAGTTGTTGTGTAGTGTAAAAACGGCAGTAGGAAAAATGAGTGTGAATTCTATAAATTTCTTACAGCCAAATGGAAATTAAATCATCGTGAACAGTGGATAGCTGCTGTTAGAAGGCTAAAGTAAGTATCATAACCTTATTGTTAAAAAAACAATGCGGAGTATTATAATTTGTTGTAAAATTGTTATGTATAGCAAAAAGAAAATTTATAAGTCAATAAATTCTTATATTATCAAAATTTAATGATTAAAAACATATATATTTTGTAAACAATTTGATTACATTTAATTAAGTTTAATACAGGGCTGAAATATTGAAAAATACAAATTTATTATATTAAATTAAATACATATATATTAATTACATATAATTATAGATTAAATTTAATTGAATGATTAAAATAAAAATAAAAGTTATCACAGAGCGATTTTTTTATTTTGCAAACTACAAAATATATATTTTGTAGTGTTGAGAATCACCGTGGGTTACGAAGCCATATGATTGCATTTGTAGTGAGCTTTTTATTGAATGTAAAAATCAGATGAGGTGTTGAGTCCTAGCTACTTCCCAACAATACTTCTTTCAATTTACAAGTCTCGAAAAGTTAATGTAGTTTTTTTCCCTTCATTGTTTAGTCATTGTTTCCGGCTGGAATTTTATTTGATGGGTGATGGACTCAAATCATGTCTTTATAATAATGCCTTAATCTTTAGTTTGACCAAAAATAATAAAAACTAGTGGGGCGCATGGCATCGTGCCTTAAGGCAAATTGCTGGAACTTTCCGTACCAAAAATTAATATTTTTTTGAAAACGATTAACATTTTTGAAAAAATTTCACTTAATAAAATGAAATTTTTGAGAAACTATCAGTTTGACAAAAAATTACTTTTTTTTGAAAAAAAAAATATTTTCTTTACTTTGACATATTTTGGAACTTCTGAACTTTTTTTTCAAAACAATCATATTGCTTTAACTGCATAGAGACGAAATATCAAAGCGTTACGCGAAGCGGCGCCGCGTCGCCGTCTAACGGATAAACATTGGTACGGAACCCATAGAAATGTGAACAAAATTTATACTTATTGTTAAAATCTCTATAAAATATCTGATAATTTGATGTGCATATGTCTAATGATCATTTTTGACCGCCAAATGGCATTTTTTTTACTTTTTTCACTAGATCTCCGAAACAGATAGACCTGCCTTCATAAAAATTTGATCAGTTCTTCATCTTGTTAATACAAGTAAAATGTTTTTTGAATCATTAAAATCGGACGCTCCGATCTCTTAAAAACCGAGTTACTATTTTTGGCACTTTTTCCCCGTATCTTCGAAATGGCTAAACTTGCCTTCGCCAAAAACTAATCAGCACTTCTCCTTATCAATACGAATCAAATGTTTTTTGAATTATTCAAATCGCTTCATTCGTGTTCCCGAAATCGTCGACAAAAATTTGTATCCGCACTCACATACATACGCTCACACACACACATACATCCATTTATTCTAAGGTATGCCAAAATGTTCAGAAGATTTTGAAACGTAAAGATATATGAAAAAATTCATTTTCGATTTTTTTGCGATTACTTTAACTTGCCCTACGGGAACTTAAAAATCAGTAAATTAAATCATTATTCACTTACCTTATTGAATTATTTTTATCATTATTATAATTTTGTTATTAAGAACTATACTGATATTTTGACATAAGTTTTAAGCAACTCAACCTTATAAATGTTTACTGGATTTATTAACTTCCCGAAGGAGAAGTTTATGTTCATCAAAAAATCCGAATTGCTAATTTTATGTTTTCTCGACGTTTCAAGCCATTCTGAATCGAATGAGATTAAATTTGGAAAAAGTATGTGTGTGTGTGTGCGTGTATGTGAACAGATTTTTTGCCGTAAATCGGCGTTTACTCGAAAGCGGCTGGACCAATTTCAAAAATTTAAAAGCCACTCGATATATCTCGTTGAGGACTATTATTTGTCAATTTTGTGCGACGATCGGCCAAGACGATCGAAATCGATTTTGAAAATTCAAAAATCGTTCGAAAGATATTGGTTGGGAATCGTGCTGATAAGTTTTTGGTAGAGATCGGCCGGGCCGTTTTTTTGTAATAAAGTTTTTTTTTTTTTAAAAATTCGACTATTTTTATGATAATTTGTTAGACGGTAGATACCATAGTCTTCTAGATCATACTAAAATATTACCGCCCTACGACAACTGGTTTAGCTTTAAAAATTCGTAAAAGTTTGCAAAAATTAGTATTTCATCGACGTTTGCTCAAAAACGCCTGAACCGTTTCTTTGCAATTTGGAAAAAAGTGTTAAACCTTTTGTCCACATTTAAACTCATACTACCGAACCGATTTTAAAAAATCAAAAACTGTTCGAAAGATATTAGTTTGGAATGATACTGATTAGTTTTAGGTGAAAATCTACCGAGCCGTTTTCTTGTAATTAACTGTTGAAAAAAAAAATTAGGCCGAATTTTTATGGAACTTTTTTTGGCGATATATATCATGGTCTTATAGAACCTTCAGAACTATTACGACCTTACGACAAGTAGTTTAATTTTAAAAATTCATCAAAGTTTGAGAAAATGAGAAGTTTTTTTGACGTTTGTTAAGAATAAAATTAGATGATTTAGTTGGTATAACGATAGTGTACTTGGTCTTCAACATAGTAAACCATTAAAGTCCTACGAAAACTGGTGCAATTATAATTATTGATTAATTAAAATTATTGATTTTTGAAATTTTGTTTTTAGAAAATACTCCGAGTTAACGTGCTCGTTCGTTCGTTTGCAATGATGTGTGATAAATCCACTCGAAATACTTATAATCACTCATAAATTAATTTATTTTTTATGGATTAAGTTGATTATTTACAAATATCGGGAAGTTTATGTAACTTTTGCCTCAAGGCTAAATACCAAACCAACTAGTTTATTTATTTTATCATTGTACTTCTCTGTGCTTTAAAGTGCATTGAAGTAAATTTTAAAATGTCGATAACTATTCAACTTTCACTTTTTCATTGTTACTTGTTTATTATTACTTATAACATTTCTTTATTAACCTATTTTTCATAATCATATAAAAACACATAAAAGGCGCACGCTGATGGCCTCCAGTAGTTCCTATTTAGTCTGGCGCTGCAGTCGTACACATAGCGATATAAAAATTAATGTCAATATTCGCTCAGAGCGTGACTGCAGCGCCCATGCAGCGCCGGAATAAATATGAACTAATTAAGGCTATCAGTGTGTGGTTTTTATGGGTTTTATACCTCTGTTAAAGAAAAATGATATTAAATGATGATATTGAAATTATTAAATTTACTTCAACGCACTTTAAACATAGTTAAGTGTAATGATTAATTTAATAAAGAAATGCAGTAAACATTT